AAATCTCAGTACAGCATCAAAAATTCATGAAAAGTTAGCTTTATCTTGGCTTTTTTCCACATCTTACTTCAACTGCAATCTTCAATCCTTTTCAATATGGTTTAGTCACTCAACCAAAACAGCACTCATAGTGATATCCAATGACATCTTATTAAACAGATAAGTACCTTTGAACATACCTGCAGTATTAAATACAATCATTCACAACCTACTGATTGCTTGTATAAAAGATGAATTTGGTGTCACAGATATTGCACTAAAATGGCTGACATCATATTTGTACTCTCAAAAAGCTTTTGTTTTTTGGCAATAAAATCTAGATTATCAGCTAGTAACACTGGATATTAGACTCATTCCTATTTTTGATAGTTTTTTTAACCTGTATTGTATTATAGCTAAACAAGGCAAAAACCATAATCAATATACCAACCATACCCAAATATATACTTTCATTAAACCAAGATTCAACACTCTCTATTTCCCCTATAAATTTATTTCAAAATTGTATTCCAAAAGGTTAAAGAGGTCCTCCCAAAATAATTAAACCACATCATACATTCTTACCAACAATATATGTAAATTTTTTTCCCTTATAAAAAAGTTATTAAAAATATTGAATGCTTTGTCTATATAGGAATGCTATATATCTTGAATGCTATGCCTAAAAATGCTATGTTTAAAATGATATGTCTATGTAAATTTTTTTCCTATATTGATTAAAAGTAAGTAATAAATAAATTTTAATAAACAAATAAATTACACGGCAAAATATTACATATATTTTATATATATATATATATATATATATATATATATATATATATATATATATATATATATATATATATATATATATATATATATATATATATATATATATAAAACAGCAAAGGATTTAATCTGATCAGAGTTGTAAAATCAACTTAAAAAAAATTTGCACCAGGTATATCATTATTTGTTTTGTTCTTTTTTTCAATTATAAGAAGAATGTGTCACCATTTTTTTTTTTTTAATTTGACGCTCACAATTTTACAATTAAGTTATTTGGATAATAGTTTCCATTATTATGAAAGAGTTCAAGCAATTTTTTGCAACTGAATGCTCTTTCTAATGCTTACCTGATTTGCAGAAAAAAACTTACCTGATTTGCAGAAGAAAAAATACTACTATCTTCAGATTTACAATTAAATTAAGGGTTTTATAGCAGAAATTTTTTTCTAGGTAATTTTTGCTCAATAAAAGTGCCTTAACTAACCCAATATAGAATTAGTTCAAAGTTATCACTAGAATAGAACAGAACTCTACATTTTAGATTGCAAAAGTAGGATCATAACTATCAATGAGTTTCTAACTCTTGCCTCTAACTTTTTTTTTTTTTTAGTAATTCACCTCCCCAAGGCCGAGAAGGCTAATACAGTGGAGGAGGCTACTTTTGTAGTTACAAACCTCTCTCAACTCTATAACTCTGAAACATTAACCTTGACAAACAAGGCCACTGTGCGGAGAAATAAGTTGAGTGCAGTACTACCAGGGATATGGTAGGGATCGAACTTGGAACTTCTTGTTTATGAGGCGAGCACTCTACCACTACATCACTACTGCATGGTATGGTACCATATGGTACCAACTGGTATTATATCTGACTTGCTGGTACTATATCTGACTCTTTTTAAAGGCACAGCAAACAAACTGAAGCACAATTTTTGTTGTGAGAAACTGTGTTGAGGTATGTTTGCTAAGTGTTGCAATTCTTGTAGACTTTGCCATCTAATATTTATTTGCTACTACAATTTAGTTTTAAAAAAATATAACTTTGTACAAAAATTCTGATTTGGGTTAATATTAAACATTTAACCTTTTAAAATTAATTTTTTTTCAAAAGTTTTAATGATTAAGAAACTTTATTTCAACAAAATTTCAAGTTTCTAAGTTTTTACGATTGTAATGATTAAGATTGTAGCTAAAATAGCAATAATTTTCTCAGACTACATGTTTATATATTTGTTTACATATATGCTTACATATATGTTTATATATAATTCTGTTTTTTAAATATTAGCTGTTTTTATATGACTGTTTTTTAAAACTTTAAAATATTATATCCATATAAAGCGAGTGAAAACAATTAAAAAAATATATTTTTTTTGATCTTATTGGTAGATTAGCTTAAGAGTGTTTAATGAATGTACTTTCTTAAAGTACATTCTCTAATCACACCAGATAGAGTTAAATAAGTTTCCAACATTAATAAGTGCTAAGTAACAAGTAAATGGCTTCTGGTTATCCTATATCCTATAAATCAATTTTTGCTATTTTATTTTTGCCACTAGTCTAAGTTGGGGGCAACTTAACTTATTTAGTAGGTTAATAGGTTATAAATGCAGACAATAAAATTTTGAAATATATTTTGCAAATCAATCTTTTTAATAATTCACATTGAAAATGTGTTTAGAAACATTGGGGGAATGTTATAATACTTTTTTAGGGCATAAAATTTTTTTTTTGAAAACTTATTAAAAAAAAAAACTTTGCAAGTTTTCTGGATAAATGACAGACTGGAGAAAAATGTAAAAAATCAAGTTCTAAACTTATTTTCTTTTTTTATCAATTAGGTAAAGTTTACAGTATCCATCTAAAACAAACATTTTAGTAGTGGTTTCTTCTGTTCAAACCTTCTTTATGATATTTTATTACCTTAACTGTGAAATCAACAAACACTTAATCAACAAACACTTAATCTCTCATCTTGAATCAAATAACTTACTTTCTGATCATCAATATGGATTTCGGTCTTCTCGTTCTACAGCTGATGTGCTAACAGTAATAACCGATAGGTTTTACCGTGCATTAGATAGAGGTGGAGAGGTTAAGGCTATCGCACTTGACATTTCTAAAGCTTTTGATAAAGTTTGGCATGCTGGTCTTCTCCATAAGCTTTCTTCTTATGGTGTAGCTGGTAACGTCTTTAAGATTATTGAGTCCTTTCTTTCCAATCGTAGTATAAAAGTTGTCCTCGATGGACAACACTCTTCTTCACATCCTGTAACTTCAGGGGTTCCTCAAGGTTCAATCCTTGGCCCTATACTCTTTTTAATTTACATTAACAATCTTCCAGATATTCTCACATCTAAGGTGGCATTATTCGCTGATGACACTACCATTTACTCTTGTCATGATAAGAAGCCTACACTCTCTGATTGCTTGGAGGGGGTATCCGAGCTTGAAAAGGATCTCACTTCTGCTACAGCATGGGGCTCACAGTGGCTGGTGAACTTTAATTCAGATAAAACTCAATTTTATTCGGCCAATCGTTATCGTAATAATTTAGATCTTCCTATATTTATGAATGGTAATGTACTAGATGAGTCATCTACCATTCATCTTCTAGGATTAACTCTTACTTCTGATCTTTCTTTTAAACCGTATATCAAATCCATTGCAAAATTAGCATCTGCTAAGGTTGCATCTCTTTATCGAGCTCGACACTTTCTTACTCCAGATTCTATTCTCTATCTCTATAAATCTCAAATCCGTCCCTGTATGGAATACTGTTGCCACATCTGGGGCGGATCTTCTAATGATGCTCTTTCTCTTTTAGACAAGGTGCAAAAACGAATTGTAAACATAGTTGGACCTGCTCTGGCAGCCAATCTCCAACCTTTGTCACATCGTCGTAATGTTGCTTCTCTTTCTCTTTTCTACAAATACTATAATGGGCACTGCTCTAAAGAGCTAGCGTCCCTTGTGCCATCTACTAAAATTCATTCCCGTGTTACTCGCCATTCAACTAAGTCTCATCCTTTTTCTGTGACTGTTCCTAAGTGCTTCAAAAACTCTTATTCTTCTAGTTTTTTTCCTCGAACATCAGTTCTTTGGAATTCGCTTCCTTCATCTTGCTTTCCTGATTCATATAATTTGCAATCTTTTAAGTCATCAGTCAATCGTTATCTTGCTCTACAGATTTAGTCTTTTCTCTTCCAGTAACTTCCAACTCTTATAGTGGTTGCTTGCAGCCTTGTTGGAAGTGAAGATGTTAAAAAAAAAAAAAAAAAAAAAAAAAATCAATAACATTATGACAATCAAGTTGTTTAAATTTTTCTTCAATAAAATAAAACAATTCAAAAGCAATATATTTTCTAATCTCCTTTTTTAAAAATAATTAGCCAGAGGTTTTTACTAAAAATGATATAAATTAATTAATGATAATGATATATTTCTGATACAAAAATCATTTACAGAGTTAAAAAAAATATATATAGCGTACTTAAAAAGTATTTAGAGTTGGCTGTAGAGACATAAAGCTTTGTGAGAATAGTAATACATAAAATAATGATTAAACTTTACTATAAAAAAAAGCTCAAAGCTCACTACATCTCTTGTTGTACTATTCTCAGCTTGTTTCTTGCTGCAACAGCCTTTTTGTCCTTTAAAAGGCCTGGTTTATCCTTTAAATTGATAAGGTTGTAAGATTGTTGTAACAGTTTATACATTAAAAAAAAAAGTTTCCCTGACTGCAGTGTACTCTTCAGCCTCAAGAAGATATGTATAAAAATGTAAATAATGTATATTAAGATTTTCATATATGCTTACATATAAACTGCATTGTACTCTTCAGCCTCAAGAAGATATGTATAAAAATGTAAATAATGTATATTAAGATTTTCATATATGCTTACATATACACTGTAAACCTTATAGCCTCATTGAAAAGCTCTTGAAGAAAATATAGTTCATTAAGAAGATTTTTAATGTTCTTTACTAGTCCTTTGAAATAAAAATTTTTACAAAGCAAGCAAAGAAGTTTAAAAGTTCTTCGAATTTGAAACACTTTCTAAAAGCCTTTGAAGAATAATTAGTTCTATAAAAAATTGTTTTAAATGGTTTTTAAATAAATGAAAATCTATTTTAAAACTCAAATGTTTATTACGCTGCCACAATATTTGAATTCCTAATACATAGCTTTAAAAATAAATAAAAAATTTTAATTAAAAAATACTCACTTATTTCTCCTTCCAAGGATATTTCAGTAAAACCTTTTTTAACAAGAAACAGACACATATTGTTACCCATACATGTTGCTTCATCTTTTAGTTTAACAGAAGCTTTCAAAAAAAGTCCTAAATAAAATATAAATTTGTTTTACTTTGTTACATATAATTTATAAGTAATATGCGTGTGTGTGTGTGTGTGTGTGTATATATATAATATATATATATATATATATATATATATATATATATATATATATATATATATATATATATATATATATATATATATATATATATATATATATAAGAATAATTTAAATGTATTCTCCAAAATATAGTGCTCAATGTTTTTAAAAGAACAGAGCAATAATAAATTAGTAGAAAATTACTTATCAAACTTTTTTTATTTTACACTGTGTTTCATCAATTAAGGCTTATCATTTCTGAGTCTTAATTGGTGAAACACAAGCTTCAAACATTTATATGTTTATACTTGTGTCAAATAATAATGCTTCACCAAAAATTGCAATGATTGGAACCTAAATTGAGGGGAGTTCAAACTTTATGTGATAATAACAAAAATTTTTTATCAACTTGTTGCTTTCCTGTTGGTAGCAGTTGTGGCCAAAATTTTAGGGTTTTTTTTGTTCCCAGGCTCATATCATTACAATTTTTTGTAAAGTATCCTTATTTGACATAAATAAAAAAAATAAATGTCTGGAAGTTAGCTATATCAAACATTAAAAAAATGCTGCATCAGCTATTTGAAGGGATAATAAAATGCTGCATCTCTTTGGAGGAATGATTATATAAATATGGTAGATGAACTTAGCAAAATGCCAAAATCTTTTAGTTTTATCCAAGGGAGATATTTAGTTTAAAAATCACCTTAAACTAGCAAGTTTCAAATAAGACGTTTTTTTTTCATGAAACATAACATTTTTCTTAATAATTTTTCCAAAAAGAGAAAAGTACTAACATAAATTTAACAAAACAATGCTTATGTAGCCATTATTTTGAAGTTTGTTTCAAATGAGGAAGTCATTGTTTTGTAGTTTGTTTCAAATGAGGAAGTCATTGTTTTGTAGTTTGCTTCAAATAAGGAAGTCATTGTTTTGTAGTTTGTTTCAAATGAGGAAGTCATTGTTTTGTAGTTTGTTTCAAATGAGGAATTTTATAAAAATTAAACAACTAATAAAACAATTTTGTCACTATTTTTTTCTTAATTTTTTAAACTGTCAGCAGTTGTGACAACTCTCCTCCTACTAGTTATGAGTTACTCTTCTATTATTTTAGAAAATAATAAAAGAGTAACTCATAACTAGTCATACATTGTTACCAATTAGGCTCAACAATTTTTTTTTAATAATTGAAATAATCTGAACTGTGAATAATTAATTTTCAAGATTGGAAAACAATAGTTTAATGAAAAACATCTAGTACATAACAAACAAAAAATGATATACTCATTGCCATGATATATACTCATTTACGCAACAAAATACCATTTATGCAACAAATTAAAAAAATGCATCAGTGTTTATGAATTATTGTTTGAGATTGAAGCCATTTCTGCACTGCTAGAAAAAGACATCAAAACATGCAAATTTTGGTTTTAAATAATCCAATTAGAGCTAACCAAATTGCACCATCAATCACTGCCACAAAAGAAAAAGATCACCACTTAGTACAATAAGACTAAGCCAGGTCACCGGTGGTAAACAGTTAGCAGTAACTCCAGTTAAGTAACAAATTTTAATTGAAAATTCCCAAATCTATAACTCTATTTATAAAATTGTAAATGAATAAATAAAAAAATCAGTTTTTGAAAAAATCTTTAATTTGTTTAGGACAGTAAAATACACAGATTTCTTTTGCAAATATTCTTTGAACCCAAGACATGGTCAATGTTCAGCTCAATATTAGCCTTTATAACACCAAAAAAAGTAAATTGGGATTTATTTTTAAAAAGTCAACAGGGTTTAGACTGGTTGAGTCATTTTTTAGCAAAAATTAGCAACAAAAAAAAAAAACTCTAAATTCTTTATGCTCTTAAAATTTTAATATTTAAAAGAACATGAGACAGCAGAAAACACTGATATTATCCATTGCAAGAACTTGAAAGAACTAAACAATCTTGTTCTACTTGAGAGAGAAAACTTGACACATAATCTTAATAATATTCAAATTGATGGTAGAGAATTTTTTTTGAAAGAGTCGTCTTTTTTTTGTGATTTGTCAAACCAAAGGAAATTTAAACATCTAGCATTTTACAGAAAACTAAAATCTTCCCAAAAATTCAAAAATTGCTCAAAATATTGAAGTCTGGATTGCATCTGTTAATAATTGCAATTAATAAAGTTCCAGAACCTTAGAAAAACATTAAGGCATTAGATTCAACACAAACGATGTTTATAATTTAAATAAAATAAAATAAAAATAGCTTATCTTTTGTGTGTGAATTCAATCTCATTCAAAAAAAACATCCCTCCTCAAGGCCGAAAAGGCCACTACAGACGAGGAGGCTACTTAATAGTGGTTATAACCCTCTCTCAACTCTATAACTTTAAAAGGTGAACCTTGACGAATAAAGCCGCTGCATGGAGAAACAAGTTGAGCGCGGTACTACCAGAGACGTGGTGGGGATCGAACTCGGTACCTCTCGCTTATGAACCGAGTGTTTTACCATTACACCACTACCGCATATGTATATATATGAATATATATATATATATATATATATATATATATATATATATATATATATATATATATATATATATATATATATATATATATCTTAATCCATTCGGCTTTTATTTTAATCCATACGGCTTTTTTAGAAAAAGAAGAAAACAAAGAATAATGAAGAGGTTGCTTCCCTATCCCAAAACCCTTAGGCTATGCACTCCACTGCGAGTTAGGCTATTTGTCAGTTGATGTATGTACTGAGACCCCCAGCAGCAGGCTAATTCAATATGACATCAGATTGCTTACCTTAGTATCAATACTATTTGTGTGTGTATACATATATATATATATATATATATATATATATATATATATATATATATATATATATATATATATATATATATATATATATATATATATATATATATATATATATATTAGGGTGGTCCAGAATTACATAGTAAAAATTATTTTTTTACTATTTAATTTTGAACATAACATTCATGAACAGCAATTTTATGACAATATTTACTATTTAGTATTTTTTTATACCCACAGACAGGTACTTAATTACATAATGGCAGCTGCACCAAAAAGTTCTGCTGAAGTTTGGCTTGTCAGCAAGGCCACCAACCAATTCTCTTTAGCAAGATTGGCTATGAACGGCGATGCCATCAGCTGCCTCCTCTTTTACCACCTTAGAAAACACCTCACGGTGAAGGACAGTATTAATCACACAATTAAAGATATCAACATAATTTAGAGGAAAGCAAAAATTCCAACTCAGAGGATCAATTCTTATGAAAGAAAACTGAAGAAGTTGTATGTGAATATCAACTGTTGATGGTGAATAGGACGAAAGCATATGAAAGCTGCAGATTTAAAGAGCAAATGTTCAAATATGACCTGATCCAAAGCATTTTTTGTGGCCAAATCAAAAGTTCCTGATTTGGAACTTTTTGACTTGGCCACAAAGAATACTTTGGACATCATTACGAACAATGAAGACAGACAATTTCTAACGATGCAGAGAGATGTCACTAATTCAAGCATGGCTGAAGTGAATTGCAATCTTGCAGAGAAAGAGACGAAGAAGAGAGCTTGTATAGAAGCTAATAAAAATTGAAGACTGAAAGAAACAGAAGTTGCAGTAAATAAAAACATCTGGTCCTGCTTTGGATATCAGTTCTTGGTCTAAGTCTGAAGACGAGGACAACATTGACAATGAAGACTTCAGAGTTCCATCATCAAAATCTGCTGAAACTCCTTCCTCAAAGCCTAAACAACTGAAAAGCGTGATAGCAACTCCAGAAGTCGCAGGGGCTTTAGATAGAGTAAATCTTCCTGATCATGGAGCTATGTATGTTGTTGCATCAGTAGCAAAGGCTTTAGGCCATCCTCTTGACAACCTAACACTGTTTAGGAGCACAATCAGAAGTTCATGGATGGCTACCTGAAAAAAAGTAGCTGAAACAGAGGAGTTTTTTTAACTGAATTTGCTCTTCTTCTCCATTGGGAAACTGCTTCCAAACATAGCTGGTGCAAAAGAAACCATTGATCGAATTGCTGTGATCATCACTGGGAATGGTATCGAGAAGTTGTTGGCAGCCCAAAAAATTGTAGGAGGAACTGGGGAAAAACAAGAATCTACGAAAAAAAGTTCAAGATCTGGTATTTGATACAACTTCCTCCAACACAGGCATCCATCGAGGGGCATGCGTTTTTATTAAGGAAGCCATTGGCCATGAACTTGTAAATATTGGATGCTGTCATCATGCCCTGGAAGTTGTTTTGAGCAGTGTCTTTACAGCTGTTTTGGTGGGACAGGTAGACCATAAATTGGTCTTTTTAAGAGGTTTTTAGAATAAATGGCCATACATCAGGCAAACAGAGTATTTGCCAGTTAGAGATGAAGTCTTCAATGAAGATACCGAAACAGCGATGGTTGTCTACAACATCAAAGCCATATGACCTCAGCAGCCTTGGGAGGATTATCTCGAGCTCCTTCAGCTATGTCTTGTCTTCCTCGTTGGAAGCAGTTTTAAGATGGACTTCCAGTTCTGAGCTCCAGGAGCAATGCATCATATTCGATGGATGTCAAAAGGTCATGTATTCTCTAAAAATGGTGCTATTTGAAGGTCAGTTGGAATTGACTGCTAAAGAAAAGCGAGGTCTGAAGGAGCTGGCACTCTTCATTTCTCTCATTTATAGATGTTTCTGGCATGAGGCCCCACTGGCTCCATATGCTCCCCTAAATGATGCAATGATTATCTGCCTTCTCAAGAAATATCCAAACTGTATCATTGCTGATGCGGCTTACACTGCATTTACTCGGCATCTGTGGTTCTTCTCAGAACACCTCATAGGCCTAGCTTTTTTTGAAAACCAAGTCTCTCTAGATGTTAAAAGAGCCATGATAGCTAACCTCCAGC